TATGGTTGGATGGGGAATTTACTTAACCTCTAAACTCTACTATATAACGTGATATATGTGTCTACATTCATTAACAGGCATTTTTAAATTTTGTTAACAGGCTTTAAAATGGGAACTTTGTCCTGTAACAATCATCTCCTGGCTAAATCTCTTTCTCCAAGTTGATGCTCTTAAAGATGCTCCTAAAGTTCTTCTACCTCAGTATTCTCAGGAAACATTCATTCAAATAGCTCAGGTACTGACATTTTTATTGATTCAATGGTAATATTATTATTAATTACAGGTTTTAGTGTATAGTCTTAGATAGGCTATATCACAAAATAATGACATTGACTTCACTCCTTAATTCTAGAACAAACCTTTTGATGCATAAAGTTCTGTCCCCAACGTTTATGTTGCTTAATGTTTCTAGAAAACAAAGTCCTTACACTTTTCTGAGTACTTTCATTTTTTAGGAGTCCAAACTAAAGCATCTTTTTTGATATAAAGGGGAAAAGCATTTTTTAGCTAGTTGTGTTTAAGCTTTATAATGGCACAGAATTATTCTGTATGATGTCTTTACATTTGGATACACAGAGTACCTATCAAGTTAAATATCAGAATTAAAATTACTTTGTTAAAAAAATTTTTTAGAACATAAATTCAAAGTAAACTTTTCCAGGCTAGCATATTTAACAAAGTAAGTAATTAGATGAGGAGGAGGAGGATCTGGCTGGGCGGTGTGGCTCAGGTCTGTAATCCCAGCACTTTGGACAGATGAGGCAAGCAGATCACTTGAGGTCAGGAGTTTGAGACCAGCCTAGCCAACGTGTTACTTGGGAGGCTGAGGCAAGAGAATCGCTTGAACCTGGGAGGTGGAGGTTGCAGTAAGCCGACATCACACCACTGCACTCCAGCCTGAGCAACAGAGTGAGACTCCATCTCAAATTTTTTAAAAAAACAAACAAAAAAAAAAAACAAAAAAAAGGAGATCCCATTCTTTCTTGCTTACTTCTCGTAAGTAAGCTTAAGGCTGCTGTATCTGTCATATAACAAAAGTGAAGAAAATCTACATTCTTATTCTGTGTGGGAAGTGAAAAATTCAACATATGGAAGACATTTGCGGATGAATATTAAGTCACCTAGGTTAAAATTTGTGGGCAATGGTGCTTACATCTAGCACATTATGAATACTCAAATTGGATAACCACTAAGTATACTGGAATTGGTTTATAAAACCTTTTATTAAAAGGTTAAAAGCTTAATTTTTTCATCCAGAATTCTTAGCATCCCAGATTGTCCTAGGCAGCTATACCCTTCTGATAGGGTAAATCTTTGATAAGCCAATAAACAATGTAGAGTTTCTAGAGGTATATAACAGTAATATTTCCCTTCCAATTCCCAACTCTTCTCCCATTTCTCTTACTTTCTGGACCAATGAGGACAAACAGAATTGAAATTTAATTCCGCTGCACAAGTATCTTCTCAAATGTGTGAGAAGTCCTTTTACACTATACCATTCCACTGCTACTTGTTCAGCTCTTATTGCCTAGATTATACAGCCTTTTAACTAATCTCACTGCTTAATAAACAGGTTTTCTTCTAGTCTGTTTTACTGCATTCTAAGGTACCTTTCTTAAAATGGAACTTTCTTGATTTAAAAATCTTCCAGTAGCTTCAAGAATCAGCCTATAAAGTTCTGACTTCTTAAAGACCCTTTGTGATCCAATCTAGGCCATGCCTCTCTCTAGCCACCACCCCTCATCTTTCTTGATAAGAAAAGAAGGAAAGGTACTCCTTGCTTATTTCATATTTTTCACCTTAGGAGTTCTGAACTATGAACTGAATTTCAAGTGATGTTCCTATACCTAGAACATTCTCTGCCTCCCAATCTTCCTGGCTACTTTATAAGACTCATTTATGGCAATTTGAGGCCATCACTATCTTTTCCAATCTGGATTTAGGTGCCCTTCCTGCTAGTACATGTCACATTGTACTGCAACGGTCGGTCCTTGTCTACTTCCTTCAGGTTGGTGGCTTATCTCTAGGTCCCTTAAAGTTTTAGCAAGAGACATTTAGTACTCATCCGTCTCCTAAATTGCTTGTACTTTTGTTTTTCCTTTGTTAGCTTTTAGATCTGTGTATTCTAGCCATTGATTCATTAGAGTTCCAGTACAGAATACTGACTGCTGCTGCCTTGTGCCATTTTACCTCCATTGAAGTGGTTAAGAAAGCCTCAGGTAAGACTCTCTATTTGTTGTCTTCTTACCTTTTCACAACTACTAATGGGACTGTAGTCTCTGAACTTTAACATTCTGCTAAACATGAATTTAAAACTTTGGCAAGGCCGGGCGCGGTGGCTCAAGCCTGTAATCCCAGCACTTTGGGAGGCCGAGACGGGCGGATCACGAGGTCAGAAGATCGAGACCATCCTGGCTAACACGGTGAAACCCCGTCTCTACTAAAAAATACAAAAAAAAAACTAGCCGGGCGAGGTGGCGGGCGCCTGTAGTCCCAGCTACTCGGGAGGCTGAGGCAGGAGAATGGCATGAACCCGGGAGGCGGAGCTTGCAGTGAGCTGAGATCCGGCCACTGCACTCCAGCCTGGGCGACAGAGCAAGACTCCGTCTCAAAAAAAAAAAAAAAAACTTTGGCAAAAAAAAAAAAAAATTAGCTGCTCGGTGATTACCTTTCTGTTAGAAGTACTTTCCAATCCTGAATGTGTATCTACAAACAAAAAGACCAAATGGAATTTAAATACAGTTGAAACGAATCAACATTATAGTTCTGCTTTAAGAGTTCTTTGGGATTTGACCATTTCAATTTCACATGTAGAAGGTACTGGTTAAGAAGTTCTGAAGTCCCTTTTCCCTTCAACATAGTCATGTAAATAGTTTGAGAGTGATAATCTGTTCTGACATACTAAACTTTCTGGTTATGATTTGTTTTGGTTTCTTTTTAAAATAACTGTCTCAAAACCAGTACCAGGTACATCAGGCATATATAAGATAGTTTCTGATGTACAACCTTCATGCTTTTCTAACTTTTTTCTATCTAGGTTTGGAGTGGGACAGTATTTCAGAATGTGTAGATTGGATGGTACCTTTTGTCAATGTAGTAAAAAGTACTAGTCCAGTGAAGCTGAAGACTTTTAAGAAGATTCCTATGGAAGACAGACATAACATCCAGACACATACAAATTATTTGGCTATGCTGGTATGTTTTTTTGTGAGTTTTTTGGTTTTGGTTTTGCTATCTGAATCTAGTAACTGAAACTGATGGTAGGAATAGAGTTCTCCTTCAGGCAGTTATATAAGATGATCAGGGGAAAGAAAGTTCTAATGGGCACACTGATTTCAAAATGTAGAAAAGTTAATAAAATTACTTTGAAATCAAAGCAAGATTTGTGAAGTGTCTCAAGATCAATGCCAACAGTCTAAATAAGAGTTAAAAATATATATAACATGTTACAGAAACTTTCAGAATATGACCCTTCACACTTGCAAAGACATAAAAAGACTATTAAAATTAGAGCTAAATAATCTCAAATAAGTACCCAGAAGTCTGGTTTGACTATGATTTCTTCCCATGTATAGGAAGAAGTAAATTACATAAACACCTTCAGAAAAGGGGGACAGTTGTCACCAGTGTGCAATGGAGGCATCATGACACCACCGAAGAGCACCGAAAAACCACCAGGAAAACACTAAAGAAGATAACTAAGCAAACAAGTTGGAATTCACCAAGTATTGGGTAGAACTGGTATCACTGAACTACTAAAGTTTTACAGGAAAATAGTGCTGTGATTGATTGTCCTAGCCAATTCATAAGTTACACTGCCATTCTTTGATTTTAAAACTTACAATTGGCACTAAAGAATACATTTAATTATTTCCTATGTTAGCTGTTAAAGAAACAGCAGGACTTGTTTACAAAGATGTGTTCATTCCCAAGGTTACTGGATAGAAGCCAACCACAGTCTATACCATAGCAATGTTTTTCCTTTAATCCAGTGTTACTATGTTTATCTTGATAAACTAGAAATTTTATCATTGGAGTTTTCGACTGGGTAAGTGCTACCCTAAAGGGTATATACTAAGTGATATGTACTTTGAATCTAGTTGTTAGATTCTCAAAATTCCTATACTCTTGACTAGTGCAATTTGGTTCTTGAAAATTAAACTTGTTTACAAAAGTTTAGTTTTGTAATAAGGTGACTAATTTATCTATAGCTGCTATAGCAAGCTATTATAAAACTTGAATTTCTACAAATGGTGAAATTTAATGTTTTTTAAACTAGTTTATTTGCCTTGCCATAACACATTTTTTAACTAATAAGGCTTAGATGAACATGGTGTTCAACCTGTGCTCTAAACAGTGGGAGTACCAAAGAAATTATAAACAAGATAAATGCTGTGGCTCCTTCCTAACTGGGGCTTTATTGACATGTAGGTTGCTTGGTAATAACCTTTTTGTATATCACAATTTGGGTGAAAAACTTAAGTACCCTTTCAAACTATTTATATGAGGAAGTCACTTTATTACTCTAAGATATCCCTAAGGAATTTTTTTTTTTAATTTAGTGTGACTAAGGCTTTATTTATGTTTGTAAAATTGTTAAGGTCCTTTCTAAATTCCTCCATTGTGAGATAAGGACAGTGTCAAAGTGATAAAGCTGAACACTTGACCTAAACTTCTATTTTCTTAAGGAAGAGTATCAAATATATACTGACTCCTAGAAATCTATTTATTAAAAAAAGACACAAAAACTTGCTGTACATAGGCTAGCTATTTCTAAATATTTTAAATTAGCTTTAAAAAAAAAATCCAGCATCATAAAGTAGATTTAATTAGAAAACTAGATTGCTAGTTTGTTGTCAGATATGTGAATCTCTTCTCCCTTTGAAGAAATTATAAATTTAAGCTATTGTTATGGTATGAAGTCTTCTGTATAGTTTGTTTTTAAACTAATATTTGTTTCAGTATTTTGTCTGAAAAGAAAACACCACTAATTGTGTACATATGTATTATATAAACTTAACCTTTTAATACTGTTTATTTTTAGCTCATTGTTTAAAAAATAAAAGTTAAAAAAATTTAACTGCTTAAAAGTAAAGTTTTGCCATTGCTTGGAGAAACTTTTTTTTCCTTCTCTGCGCTGCCAGCTGTAACACTTCTTCTGGATTGCTTGCATTCAACTCTGTCTGGCCGATGGCTTTGATCTTCCAAAACAGAAAAGTGATGTTATTAGAGATGTGTCAAAAATTAAGTTTTGTTGGTACAAGTAATATAAAGCTATCTACATGCTAACAATGATAAAGTTTAATGATTAACTGACCCTCTAATTGTAAAACCCAAGAGTCTTGGAAAAAAATTAACATAAAGATTAACCAGGCCGGGTGCGGTGACTCACGCCTGTAATCCCAGCACCTTGGGAGGCCAAGGCAGGTGGATCATGAGGTCAGGAGATCGAGACCATCGTGGCTAAGACGGTGAAACCCCGTCTCCACTAAAAATACAAAAAATTAGCCAGGCATGGTGGCGGGCACCTGTAGTCCCAGCTACTCGGGAGGCTGAGGCAGGAGAATGGCGTGAACCCGGAAGGCAGAGCTTGCAGTGAGCCGAGATTGCGCCACTGCACTCCAGCCTGGGCACAGAGCAAGAGACAGTCTCAAAAAAAAAAAAAAAAAAAGATTAACCAGGGCCACTCTCAAGGAAAGATGGACTGCTGAGCCATAGTTTATGGAATTATTTAAGTGGCATTTTAATATATTAAGTAAATTCATGTAAATTTATTTGAAAGTATAAGTAAGTTCTACATGGTAATTTTTAGAGTTAAACTAGGGCTTCACTTGTTAATGTGCAAAAATAACTAGTGGCTCAGCACTATAGTGGCATACAGTGGCTCAACTTTTCACGATTAGAAAGAAGTGCCTCAACCAACTAAATATACACACTATTTTTTTTGCTATGGAGTGTTTAGGACCTTAAAATCTATAGATTTTTCTTTAAAAAAATTTTTTTTTTTTGAGACGGAGTTTCACTCTTGTCACCCAGGTTGGAGTGCAATGGCGTGATCTCAGCTCACTGCACAGCCTCTGCCTCCCAGGTTCAAGGGATTCTCCTGCCTCAGCCTCCCAAGTAGCTGGGATTACAGATGCCCGCCACCTGGCCCGGCTAATTTTTGTATTTTTTTAGTAGAGACGGGGTTTCACCACGTTGGCCAGGCTGCTCTCAAACTCCTGACCTCAGGTGATCTGCCACCTCAGCCTCTCAAAGTGGTGGGATTATAGGCGTGAGCCACTGCACCTGGCCTAGAATTTCTTTAAACAGTAAGACTTCTGATATGTGGCTTGAAGAGAGAGATGATAATTCAGATATGATCATCAGGTATGGGAAGTTAGGGAATAGGAGAAATTGCTGGATGATGCCATTCAACATGAAGGAATGCATGTGGCAAAAGTTGGTAGTAGAGTACAACCAGAGTTGTTTCACACAGGTATCCCAAAGATAACTGGCTATAAAAACCCGAAGTGTGAGACAGAAATTGGAATCGGAGCCAGGTATTTGAGAGAAGTAATACACCCCATGTGGACACTAATCAAAACCGAGAGTGGATTAAATTACCTAGGGAGAATGTAGGGTTACAGAAAAGTAACCCAAGGACTAACTTCTTGAGAAAACCAAATTTAAGGAGTAGGCAGAGGGAGACACCCACAACAAAGAAAAGGAAGAAATAGAGAAAGCAATCCAATAAAAATGTCAGGGAAGCCAAAGGAATAAAGACTTTCAAGAAGGAAGGAGATGTAATCAGGAAAAGGACTGGAAAGTATCCAGTGGATCTGGTGTTTGGTGGCTCTTGAGAGAAAAGTAAGAGCAGTGATGGCATTAGTCAAACTGCTGGCTTGAAGAGCTTCAAAAGCTAGGCTGAGAGGGATAAGGGGGCCGGAGGTGGAGGCACAGACAACAAAAACTTGTATTAGGATGAAATATCTTATAGACTATGGAGAGGCTGACGACATAGGAAATCATGTAACTCATTAAAAGGTTACTGAGGAGAGAGAATTCAAAACATAAAAATTTGCCTTCATCAAAGAGTAGTATAACCTCTTACGGGCTGCATAGTGGGCTTAACAATGAGTACAGCTGTAGATTATTTTAAAGGCAAGACGCAGCAAATGAAATAGGAATTTGAAGCTAGTACTCACAAGGTCACCATTCCCAAGACTAACATCCATGAGGACAGAGCCTGGCCAGTCTTCACTGGTATATGCCAAGCATAGAGGAGGTAAAGAAGTATGGAAAAGGTAGAGAGAGGACAGGGGCTTAAACAGGAAAGTCTAAAAATTAGAGTCCACAAAGAGAATGTGGACCACCAAACTAGTGGCAGGTAAAAAAGCTGACGGGCCAACTAAGGTTGGAGACCGGTTTGGCAGTGGCACCAGTTGTAGAACTTTTTCCAATAGTCTCAGTGGCCCAAGAAAATAAAACACATAAGTTACTGAACTTTTGCAGGGCTAGGGCTTTCCCAGGTTAGGTAAAGGATAAAGTGAAGATGCTAAAAATATTGATCAAGAGTAGCTCTATCAGCAGGGGTTCCCAAACCTGGTTCATCATCAGACTACCCGGGAAACAAAAAAGGGATTCCAGGGTCCACTTCCGACCAACTGAATCAGTATTTCTCAGTGTGCAGAATGGTATTTGTCGTACTTGAGATAAGTAGAGAAGGGAAGATGGAAGGGAATGACTGGGAAAAAAATGTCACAAACCTGAACATCTCACTGATCGTGAGGGGCTCAGGAGCCAGGAAGTAAGAGAAGGATAGGTTATGGGCAGAAAGTGGGTTGCAATATAAGATCTTACGTAGAATAATTGTGAGTGGCTGGTACAGAGTAAAAATAACACTCCATAGACCTGAGGCTGACAAGGACTTGTAAAGTCCTTGGTGACATCAGGGTGACAGGTAAATTCATCACATCTTTTGACACATGTAGAGGAACAACCAGATGCTTACATGAGCTAGTAAGGAAGTAAGGTATGAAGGATAAGGGTCTCAAAAAGTGATAGAAGTAGAAGTGGTTTGGAAATAGCAAAAGGGAGCTAGGAAAATTTTTCAATATTGCCTTCCAGCCCCAGGTAAATCAGAAAAGGGAGAATGAATAGCCTCCAATCAAGTAGAACTGGCCTTCATGTTCTTTTTCCTTTTTTTTTTTTTTAAGTGCTGTTGTTATTCTGTTTCTTCTAAACAATGGGCATACACTTTAGTCCAAGTACAAAGTTTAAAAGACACTTAATAAATAGCATTTTTAAAAATATAAGTGAAAGAGCAAAGAAAAGATATGTGGTGATACTTCTGCAGTAAATGTTAGACAAGTAAATATGGCCATACAATTTAAAATGTTTTGGCCCATACATCAAATTTAGATACAGAGTTCATCTAATCAGTGATTCTGGGGCACCTAATATGTGCCAGACACCATTCTAGGTAACAACTATGACAAAACAAGTCCTTATCCTCATGGGGAAATAGATATTAGGTAAACATACAGCATGTTAGATGTTGACAACTGTTTCAGAGAAAAATGTAAAAAGAAATGAGAGTAAGAGTACTGGAGGGAAAAGGAAAGCAGACATTGTTACTTTATAAGATGATCAGGAAAGGGCTGAGGAGACACCTGAGGGAAGTTGGATGTTCTTGGAAGAGAAAATTTCAAAGGCCCTTCTTAGGTGGTGAATGTTCTTGGCTTGTTCAAAAAACAGGAGGGGTACTGGTGTAGCAGAAATTAGCAAGGAGGAAAAGTCAGATGGATAGGCTAGAGGTCAACTTGTATATAGCCTTATAAGCCATTGTAAGACTTTTAACTTTGTGTGAGATGATAAGCCATTAGAAGGTTTGGGACTGAGAAATGACATGCTCTAATATTTTAAAATGACATATAATGATGACATGGAACAGCTAAAATTATCAAAAAAGGATCTTTTATCATGTAAACACTGATAAAAAAGTTCTGGCAGTAACTAGGCACACAAAATCTATTTTTTGTTGGTCCACATCTTAACAATTGTTTAATATTCTGGAAACTATACCACTGAAGAAAGGCGTAAGGTAACTTACTGCAATTTGTCTTTTATCTGTTTCTCCTCTTTTATGATGAAGATCTAAATAATCAGTTAAGAAAAATAAATCTGACAGTATTAAATATAATGAGAGAATCTCAACTCATTTTCAGTTTTGATTTGGAAAATATACAATATTAAATATTCCTTTAACTTATAGAAATGGATCATTCTAACATCACACACATTGATGAAAGGATACAAGTCAAGTATTCCAAAATAGTAACATCCCATATGTAGTCGTAGTAGGAGTCCATAGCATCATGACTGAAAGAGAGAATTCAGTTACTTCTTAAGCAGAAAAATGTTGACCTCATTATTTTAAAAAAATTATTCATACCTGTTTTGTTCTTGCAGAGATTTAAATGCTGTTTTGTAGTCAATTTCTCTGAGGAACTGACATAAAATGGCCACCTACATTAACAAAGATTTGAAAATGGTTTCATGTAATGAAAGCTTGGTTTTACAGGGTAATCTTGAATTATTTATATGAAGAATATATTCTTGAAGAAACCTTATAGATCACATTGAATCAGCTCATTTATGGATTCCATCCAATTTTAAGTTCAAAAACTTTTATACACGTGTCTGTCTGACCACTATTTTCTTCATCAGTGACCTAAACCACAAATTTTTAGAGGTCTGTTTGAATGAGAAGCTGGCAAAAAGCCAGTTCAGAAAACTGAAGGGGGTGGAAAACTGCCAAGCAAAAGTGTCATGACATTCAAGGACATACAGAGCGTGCAATTAAACCTTTCACAGCTGGCAAGTATAGATGCTCATTTTGGCAAAATTTAGGCTGCCAGTCTGCTTAACATAGAAAACATTTCACTCAGGTCATAATGTCCATCTCTTTAAAAAATAGTTTTTATTGATTTAATTCACAAACCATAATAGTTACCTTCTTAAAGTACCCAATCTGGTGGGTTTTAGTATATTCACCAAGTTGTACAACCATCACCACTATGTAATTTCAAAACATTTTCATTACTTCCCTCAAAAAAGTCCATTAATTAGCCGTCACTCTCCACTCCCTCTCACCTCAAGCCTCTGATAACCACTAATTTACTTTGTCTCCATATGAATGGAGACATTTCATATGAATGGAATCATAGACTATGTAGCCTTTTGTGCCTAGCTTCTTTCACTTAGTATAATCTTTCAAGGTTCAGCCATGCTGTATCACGCAACATTACTGACCATTCCTTTCTATGGCTGAATAATATGTCATTGCATGGATATGCTGCATTGTGTTTAGTCATTCATCATTTGATAGACATTAGGGTTGTTTCTACTTTTTGGCTATTATGGATAAGCCTGCTGTGAACACTTGTGTACAACTTTTTCTGTGGACATACGTTTTCAATTCTTTTGGGTATATACCTAGGAGTGAAACTGCTGGGTCATATAATAATTCTTTTTACCTTTTTGAGGAACTGGGAAACTGTTTTCCTGAGGCTGCACCATTTCGATGCTACAACATTTTATATTCCCACCAGCAACATATGAGGGTGCCAGTGTCCCCACATCCTCACCAACATTTGTTTTTAAATGTCTTTAGATTACGGCCATCGCAGTGGGTAGGAAGTGGTATCTCGTGGTTCTGATTTGCATTTCCCTAATGACTAATGCACATTTCTAATCTAAAGTATCTTTAAAAACTTGAAAAATGCTTTCTTCCCATTTAGGAGGTTTAAAGGTCAATGTTTTTAATTCATACTTTCATTTTAGTTGACACTGTATAAACTATTAAAAAAATTAAAGAATATGCCAAACTCTTACATACCCTAAGTGATTTCGATATGTAAAATAAAATACAATTTCCAGTTCAATGCTTTATTATAAACTCTAACATACATAAAAACAAAACAACTTCATAATATTATAAACTAACCTGTGTGTGGCAATTCAGCAAAGAACAACATTTTATCATTCGTTTTATTACCTACAAAAGCAAAATTCTCATTATTTTCAAAAACCAGCTAACATGGATTGTAACAAATGTGCCACTTCACAAATGTGAAGCTGTGTGTGGAGGAACAGGGTGTATATGGGAACTCTGTACCTTTTATTCAATTGTGCTGTGAACCTAAAAGTGTTGTTAAAAAAAAAAAAAACTAAAAATCTAATAAATGTTCAATCTTATTTCAAAAGCCATTATAAGTATTTTTAAAATATCATTTAAGTTACGATACTGGTAGCCTACATCGGAGGAAATAGCAACGCATATCAAAAAAAAAAAAATGGACAAAATTTGATACCAGGTGCAGGAATGGGGAGGAAATGGGAAGTAGTAGTTCAAAGGGCACAAATTTGCTATTACAGTAAGTCCAGCAAGCTGATATACAGTATGAGGACTAGAATTCATTATACTGTACTGTATAGTAAAAATTTGCTAAGAGTAGATTTTAGGTGCTCTTATCACAAAAAACGGGTAACTAAGGAAGGCAACAGATATGTTTTTTGTTTGACTGTAGTAATCATTTCACTGTGTATATTAAAACATAATTTTGTATATCTTAAATATATACCAAAGAAATCAAGAAAAAAAAAAAAAAACAGGGATTTAGGAGATAGAATCCAAATGATTTGAGAGCTAACTGGATGGTGGCAGGAGGATCAGTAAAGAAAAAAGTCAAAAATGATGGCCAGGGTTTGGGCTTGAACAACTCAGATGGTTAAACAAAAAAGTTTGTTTGGTATTTTGCAGTTTTTTTTTTGTTTGTTTTTGAAAGGGCACGTGAATTTATTAGGAGTGTATTAGGAGTTTATTACTTTATGGTAAAGTAAGATACAAATCAGTTTGGACAAGTTGAATTTGAGGTGTTTTGGGGGAATCAAGACAGCAATAAGTGCTAGAAATAGGGACAATGAAAATACAGAGAGCAATCTGTTCTAGAGTCATGAACCTGGGACTTACGATCACATTACAAGGAAATGGGTAAGTTCAGCCAAAAGGGGGCCCATGAAGAACATATACAGGTAGGCAAGAAGCCAGCCAGCCCATGAAAACAATTTACCTGGTCTGTATAAACATCAGGGGGCACAGCCTTGTTAAAGAAGTCAGAACACACAGCTCCTGCCTGGAGATAATAGTGAAGAGCTGCTGAATACTGATTCGTTGCTGAAACAGAAAAACAGACATAAAGCATTAGAGGTAACAGTTGAAAAACAGGGCTTCCTTTGTGAAGAGTCAGGTGAAACTTCGTAAGTTAACACAAGCAGATTAAACCACAGATCTAGAAATAAAACGTTAGTTCATATTTCTTGCCAAATGTCCTAGCACAGAATTTAGTATTTGGAGATTTTACTTCCCAAATGTCCAAACTAGAAACAAATTATAATTTTGTGAAGTAGTTCAGAATCGGTATATCAAGAACCTGACAGCTATCAAGCTGATATCTTGAATTTGATAGATATCAAGAACCCGATAGCTTCTTTTAGGGACTGGGGTGGAAATGAGCATTAAAATCAGCATTTGCGTCAAAATAATCCAGAGGAGAGAAGAATGATGCGGGAAAGGGCACACATGAAACAAGACTGGCCATGAACTAATTACTGTTAATTAGTAGCTGGGTGGTAGATACATGGGTGTTCAGCCCACTATCCCTTTTATCTTCATATCTTGAACTTTCCCTTTAAAAAACTCAACTCATTAGGAAACAAATACGATGGGAAAAAATCTTAATTAAAAACCAACTCCTAAAACACAGATTCTGAAATGATTCTAGTCAGAAATTTTATTTGATCTGTAGAGTAACAGAAGCACTGAAAGTTTCGTATCAAGTGGGAAAACCTTATCACATACAACCCAGCACAGGGGTAATGGGGAGAGTTACCCCTATCTCCAAGAATAAAAATAATGATCAAGTGTATCTGGAGAGAGTTTAGAATCTCTAAACAGCATTTTAAAAAGAAAACCTCATTCTCCTTAAAGATGTTTTACCAATTAGATTAAAAAAATTCATGCCGGGCGCAGGGGCTCACGCCTGTAATCCTAACACTTTGGGAGACCGAGGCGGGCGGATCACCTGAGGTGAGGAGTTCAAGACCAGCCTTGCCAACATAGCAAAAACCAATATCTACTAAAAATACAAAAATTAGCCAGGCGTGGTGGTGGGTGCCTATAATCCCAGCTACTTGCGAGGCTGAGGCAGGAGAATCGCTTGAACCTGGGAGGCGGAGGTTGCAGTGAGTCAAGATCATGTCACTTCACTCCAGCCTGGGCGATAGAGTGAGACTCCATCTCAAAAAAAAAAAAAAAAAAAAAATCACTACTTTTTTTAAAAAAGATAATAAAGGTAGTCCACATAAAATTAAAAGCATCTGAACCAAAAGTTCCACACTAAAAAAAAGTATAAATACTTTTACCGCTTGAATTTACTAAAGTAAATCTCAAGAAAACTTAACAAGTATTGTAATAAAATAGGTCATATATTTACTTTTACTTCAGAAAGTGCTATAAAAACAAAACACAAAGCAACTAAACATCTCACTTACCAAAGTAAATATCTGCCTGGATAATTAACCAGGAATGGTTATTTGGATTTATACTGAGTGTGTATCGAACTAGCTCTTTCACTGTGATTGCGACAGCTTCAAAGTCCACAGACTGCAGGCTAAAAGGAAAGACACATAACATTAATCTCTATTTTAAAAGTCAACTTTAAATTCCATGCATGTATTTATTAAAAACAAAAAGACTCAGCCAAGATTTAGGTGAACATAAATATAATGCTAAATACTAGGAGTAAATGTACTATAAGAACTATCAACACAACTAAGTCTAAGAAAGTGTGACGGGCTAACTTTTTATGAGGGGTTGAAAACAATCTGATATTTGTTCTCTTTTCTTCAAAATGTCAAAGGTAGACAAGGCTGCACCAAGAAAGTGTATTTGCATCTTTTACAAATGGTTAAAGCATATAAAAGTAGTAAGACACTTACCTTTGCTTTTAGCACAATTTATGGGCAACAAAAGAGACTCATAAAATGTCCCCAAATTATTTTTCTTTTTTTTTTTGAGACGGAGTCTCACTCTGTTGCCCAGGTTGGAGTGAAGTGGCGCGATCTCAGCTCACTGCAACCTCCACCTCCCGGGTTCAAGCGATTCCTCTGCCTCAGCCTCCTGAGCAGCTGGGATTACAGGCACCCACCACCACACCAGCTAATTTTTTTTTTTTTTTGGTATTTTTAGTAGAGATGGGGTTTCACCATGTTGGCCAGGCTGGTCTCAAATTCCTGGCCTCAGGCAATCTGCCCATCTCAGCCTCCCAAAGTGCTGGGATTACAGGCCTGAGCCACCGCACCTGGCCCCCAAATGATTTTTAAGTTCTGTTATCTATGAGAAGCCACAAAAAAATCAAGGACTCAGACACTGATAATGTTGCCATGTGGCCTTACATCCACCTTAAGGCTTCTTGCAAGAGTTACCGACTCCCCTCGAGATGTTTCAGGGGCCCTAATGGGGTGAGGGGCTGGATGTCCAAGTATATCACGTCAGTGCATTTGGCAGCCCCCAAGAATCAAGAAAACGGTACTGTGAGCCTTGCTAAATGTGGACACATTGAGGTACAGAAGATGGAACTGTGAAGAGAAAAGCGAGGCTGGCACTCAAGAAACTGCTAACTGCTTCCACCTCCTAAGAGCAGTAAAGCACAAGGGTAGAGAATAGAAGCTGTGGATTCAGACACATGGCTCTATCATTTACAAGGTGAATTCAGACAAGGTACTTTTGTTGCCCTGAGGGATTACAGTTTACCCTAACTCACCACTGTGCCCAGTACAGTGGAAAATGAATTGTGGGATTATTAGCAAATAGTCAATTATTTATTTAAACTTAAATAGTTATATAAGTTAAATTGGCTTATAATTTTATAGACATTTACAAAATATTACAAGTCTATGAATTCTATATATCAAATAGTTGGTTTTAAAAACGTAATCCTCAATCCAGTGCCATTTCCACTATTCTTGGAATCAATAAAGACTCCCACTCAGGAGAAATACTTTTCTCTAGTCAAACATTTAGTCATATTTTGTTTTTTCTGGGTCAATTTACATTAAAGTATTTTCATCATGAAGATAATAGTTAAGCCTACTATGTACCAGTCTTTATTCTAAATATCTAGCTTAGAAAACGTATTATTTCGTGCAGGGCATGGTGGCTCACGCCTGTAATCCCAGCACTTTGGGAGGCTGAGGCAGGTGGATCACAAGGTCAGGAGATCAAGACCATCCTGGCTAACACGGTGCAACCCCGTCTCTACTAAAAATACAAAATATTAGCCAGGCGTGGTTGCAGGCACCTGTAGTCCCGGCTACTTGGGAGACTGAGGCAGGAGAATGGCATGAACCCAGGAGGTGGAGCTTGCAGT